CAGCAGCACAATAATTTTCCGAAATTCTGAGTTTGATTAAATAAGAAAACGGTTAAATCCAGCTACAAAAAAGATTTCAACCTAAAAGATTCGGGTGAGGGGAAAAAGGAAAATGAACAAGTTGTATCAATCTATCAGTGTGTCGAAACTTTTTTCTTGAAAAGTTGTATTGCTTGGCAATCGTGAATAAATTTAAGAACTTAAAACAAACGAAAATTTTTAATTTGTTACTCTAACTACATCCTCTCAAAAACTCTATGATATTGTTGGGCTCTTACAACCTGATCGAAATCATTAAGTTTTGTCGAGATTTTGCTATTTCTATCTTTTTGGGTCGATCTAATTTCTGTACCGCTCACAATTTTTCGAACATTTTGGCATTATTTTGTTCGTCCTTAAACTTCTTCAAGATTTTTAGAAAAAAAGGTTGTTAACTGTTCGCCAGCTTTACGAAATTGCTGTTTCAACCTTCACCATTGTTGGCTTGGTGAGCATCATTTCGTAATCGATGATGGCAACTCCATTTTTTTTAGACAAACCTGGGTTTTCGTCCTCCCTAAGTAAGTAAAAAGTTCAGAAGAATAGAGCACCGATTGGCTTGCTTCAGATGCTATACTTTGAAGATGCTTTAACATAGCAGTGACGTCATCTACGGACAGAAATGCTGGTGAGGGGCCAGAAGAAAAGACCAGCAATTAAAAACTAGTCAGCGAAGACGGCTCCGCTTGAAAGAACTTTGAAAATGAAAGAACTTTGAGACTCTATGATTCTGTTATGAATCCCCTCCCGGCAAGGAGTCGCTTGCCTCAACCAATTAGCTTCAAGAAGGATGTTACACCTAGATTAATTGATGCATAAATTTTGGGAAAAGTTTGCTAAACTTTGCACCAAGATATGCGACTTGGTTGGGACAAATTGACAGATCTCATAACAATTCGCTCGCTTTTGTGATAATCCGGCAAAATACAAGCTCACCTTGGAAAAACCAAGCAAAACAAATCTAAACGAAAGCAAAGAAAAACCGTATTAAAACTGAACAAGCGAGATCTTCAAATTCTTCAACATCTTCAAGAGCAAAACAGTATCTATTTCTATTAGTTCAAAAATATTGGCAATATAAATAAACTTTCAGCTTCTGCATGTTACCAAACGCAAAATTTAACACTGACGATACAACACAACAATAAAAAGAACATAAGTCGAAAATTGATTTAAATGTTGAAGAAAAATAGGTGAAACAAAAGTTTCGTATGTCTCGATAAATAACAACTAGGGGCACAGCAAAATCTGGAGGTACGCGTTTCATATTGAATGAATTTGCTATACTGATGCGGCACGAAAAGTGTGATTTCAAAAATTGGGAAAAACCTGTTTTTCTACTAAAATAAGTGAGAGGACTAAAAAATTTTGAGACAAAACAAAATTCTTACAAAAATTAAGAAACTTATGCAGAATGGATTAAGGCAACCTGTTATTTCGATTGACCCCAAATCCCAGATTTGTCCGAAAAAAAAAAGACTTTCAAAAAACGGTCAAAAGTCAAACATTTGACTTTTCCGAGGGTGATAACTGTGTAAAAAAAACTTTGTGAGGGCTGCTAAGCCAGGTGAGCTGTTCAAAATAGTTCTAATCATTGACACCAAAAACTCAGATTTCAGAAGATTCGTTTTCCAGTAAAATCCAAAAAAAGTGTCAAATAATGCCACGCAGACATTTTCGAAGGCCGTAGACAGAGATCAAGTAAACGATATTCTAGGAGAGTATGCAAGCAAACAGGAGAGTAGGCGTTCTTTCAATTGATACCCATTTTGTGAAAATCAGTAGAAGTTTGAGGAAATCTAAAATATCGAATGAAGAAAAATGTAGGAGTATATCATACACTAAAAGCAACACTAAAAAAAAGCGGGCACAGCAAAAAAATGATTCCAATTACAAGTAAGCCGACAACAGCTAAGCAGACAAAGAATTGGCCGACAAACTATTTGAAACAGAATTTTTCCCGTTTGAAAAAAAACAGGTCCTGGTCAGATTCGAACCGAGAACCTTTGCCGTCCAAGGCATTTTCGTGGCCTTTGGGCTAAGTTGGTTGGGAACGCTAGAAAATTTGAATACATTATGACGCAAAGTACCACTAGAGATTAGTCCAGACGTATCCTCTGAACAAGTTAATTACGGGAAAAAAGTCGCAAGGGTAATCAAGTCGAACAAAAAAAAACAATGAATACTTAAGACAATTGCCACCTATTCATCAAAATTGAATTTACAAAACATATTCTACAGAAAATATATAGCTACAAGAATTACTTATTTACATATCATCATCATCTGGTAGTTTATACACCCATACTGGTATTCGTTGGTGTTTGGCAACTTTTTTCTTTTGTTGCATCTATCTTTCTTTGATTAGAGGCCCAAATTGGCGTTGTTTTTTGGCTTTCATTAGCATTCTGTTTGTCAAAAATTGTTTTCGTTCTCATCTCATTGAAAAAAAAACGAGGTCTCAAATTTTTTTAAAGTCATATTTTGTTAGACCTCGTTGCTAGTTGCACCACTCTCCAGTATTCAGTATTCAAAGGACTACTAGAACAAAGCACCATTAAAACAGGAACCATTCGAAATCGGCTTTTTAGTCCAACACACCATATTCTCAGAAGCTGTATAAGTAAATGAGGTCCAATTAAAACTGAGCCCCAGCGAGCGACGCTTGCTTCTTAGCCGGGGTCAGCATTGACATCTCCTTACAAATCGGATACTCCGCCTTCATTTGTTCACGCGCACTCTCGTACTTGTCACAATAGTCACTTATAAACTGGTAATACCTTCCAGACTTCTCAATGTTTTCTGCTTTGATAGTGGGCGAAGTGATCACTTTACTAAGCAATCTTGCTAGATAAAAGTTGGCCATCAACGCTGGTCTCACATACATTTCCGGAAACTGTTCCGGCTGCTTTCCGTTAATGTCTTCGAATGTCTTCAGAAATTCTCGGAAATATTTCATAGACTTGCTTATACTGCTGTTTATTTTCTTGGCACTAGCTACTGAGACATCCTTCTGTTCTTTGAAGAATTCTTTCTGCAGGTCAGCGGTGTCTAAAAAATAAATTATCTATGAAATAAATTGCGCGTACAATTTTTCTATTCATAAATATTGCGTGAAAAAATACCTGTAGACGAATTCCCTACCACTTTGTGAAAATCAGTAGAAGTTTGAGGAAATCTAAAATATCGAATGAAAAAAAATGTAGGAGTATATCATACACTAAAAGCAACACTAAAAAAAAGCGGGCACAGCAAAAAAATGATTCCAATTACAAGTAAGCCGACAACAGCTAAGCAGACAAAGAATTGGCCGACAAACTATTTGAAACAGAATTTTTCCCGTTTGAAAAAAAAAAACAGGTCCTGGTCAGATTCGAACCGAGAACCTTTGCCGTCCAAGGCATTTTCGTGGCCTTTGGGCTAAGTTGGTTGGGAACGCTAGAAAATTTGAATACATTATGACGCAAAGTACCACTAGAGATTAGTCCAGACGTATCCTGTGAACAAGTTAATTACGGGAAAAAAGTCGCAAGGGTAATCAAGTCGAACAAAAAAAAACAATGAATACTTAAGACAATTGCCACCTATTCATCAAAATTGAATTTACAAAACATATTCTACAGAAAATATATAGCTACAAGAATTACTTATTTACATATCATCATCATCTGGTAGTTTATACACCAATTCTGGTATTCGTTGGTGTTTGGCAATTTTTTTCTTTTGTTGCATCTATCTTTCTTTGATTAGAGGCCCAAAATGGCGTTGTTTTTTGGCTTTCATTAGCATTGTTTGTCAAAAATTGTTTTCGTTCTCATCTCATTGAAATAAAACGAGGTCTCAAATTTTTTTAAAGTCATATTTTGTTAGACCTCGTTGCTAGTTGCACCACTCTCCAGTATTCAGTATTCAAAGGACTACTAGAACAAAGCACCATTAAAATAGGAACCATTCGAAATCGGCTTTTTAGTCCAACACACCATATTCTCAGAAGCTGTATAAGTAAATGAGGTCCAATTAAAACTGAGCCCCAGCGAGCGACGCTTGCTTCTTAGCCGGGGTCAGCATTGACATCTCCTTACAAATCGGATACTCCGCCTTCATTTGTTCACGCGCACTCTCGTACTTGTCACAATAGTCACTTATAAACTGGTAATACCTTCCAGACTTCTCAATGTTTTCTGCTTTGATAGTGGGCGAAGTGATCACTTTACTAAGCAACCTTGCTAGATAAAAGTTGGCCATCAACGCTGGTCTCACATACATTTCCGGAAACTGTTCCGGCTGCTTTCCGTTAATGTCTTCGAATGTCTTCAGAAATTCTCGGAAATATTTCATAGACTTGCTTATACTGCTGTTTATTTTCTTGGCACTAGCTACTGAGACGTCCTTCTGTTCTTTGAAGAATTCTTTCTGCAGGTCAGCGGTGTCTAAAAAATAAATTATCTATGAAATAAATTGCGCGTACAATTTTTCTATTCATAAATATTGCGTGAAAAAATACCCGTAGATGAATTCCCTACCACTTTGTGAAAATCAGTAGAAGTTTGAGGAAATCTAAAATATCGAATGAAAAAAAATGTAGGAGTATATCATACACTAAAAGCAACACTAAAAAAAAGCGGGCACAGCAAAAAAAATGATTCCAATTACAAGTAAGCCGACAACAGCTAAGCAGACAAAGAATTGGCCGACAAACTATTTGAAACAGAATTTTTCCCGTTTGAAAAAAAACAGGTCCTGGTCAGATTCGAACCGAGAACCTTTGCCGTCCAAGGCATTTTCGTGGCCTTCGGGCTAAGTTGGTTGGGAACGCTAGAAAATTTGAATACATTATGACGCAAAGTACCACTAGAGATTAGTCCAGACGTATCCTGTGAACAAGTTAATTACGGGAAAAAAGTCGCAAGGGTAATCAAGTCGAACAAAAAAAAACAATGAATACTTAAGACAATTGCCACCTATTCATCAAAATTGAATTTACAAAACATATTCTACAGAAAATATATAGCTACAAGAATTACTTATTTACATATCATCATCATCTGGTAGTTTATACACCAATTCTGGTATTCGTTGGTGTTTGGCAACTTTTTTCTTTTGTTGCATCTATCTTTCTTTGATTAGAGGCCCAAATTGGCGTTGTTTTTTGGCTTTCATTAGCATTCTGTTTGTCAAAAATTGTTTTCGTTCTCATCTCATTGAAAAAAAAACGAGGTCTCAAATTTTTTTAAAGTCATATTTTGTTAGACCTCGTTGCTAGTTGCACCACTCTCCAGTATTCAGTATTCAAAGGACTACTAGAACAAAGCACCATTAAAACAGGAACCATTCGAAATCGGCTTTTTAGTCCAACACACCATATTCTCAGAAGCTGTATAAGTAAATGAGGTCCAATTAAAACTGAGCCCCAGCGAGCGACGCTTGCTTCTTAGCCGGGGTCAGCATTGACATCTCCTTACAAATCGGATACTCCGCCTTCATTTGTTCACGCGCACTCTCGTACTTGTCACAATAGTCACTTATAAACTGGTAATACCTTCCAGACTTCTCAATGTTTTCTGCTTTGATAGTGGGCGAAGTGATCACTTTACTAAGCAATCTTGCTAGATAAAAGTTGGCCATCAACGCTGGTCTCACATACATTTCCGGAAACTGTTCCGGCTGCTTTCCGTTAATGTCTTCGAATGTCTTCAGAAATTCTCGGAAATATTTCATAGACTTGCTTATACTGCTGTTTATTTTCTTGGCACTACCTACTGAGACGTCCTTCTGTTCTTTGAAGAATTCTTTCTGCAGGTCAGCGGTGTCTAAAAAAATAAATTATCTATGAAATAAATAGCGCGTACAATTTTTCTATTCATAAATATTTCGTGAAAAATTACCCGTAGACGAATTCCCTACCACTTTGTGGTCGTAGAAAATTTACTACAGAAAATCGTTAAATAGTTGAGCTCAACTTGCGCAACAAACCGACAAGTTGATACTCCAAGAAAACCAGAAAATATGACTGAGCAACTAAAGCGACAAAACTTAGACCGAAAACTAATAACAATAAATTTTGTCAATTTTAAAGCTAAGTGAAATTTGACAAAAAGGTGACAGCTGCGACAAAAAAAACCCAAAACGCTTTGGATGCCCGCTATCAATCAATTAACTTCTATGATAGAGGTTATTTAATTTGAATTATCGCAAAATTGAGCATATGCCAGCAGCTGCAACTGATAACTCGCGCAAGGTAACAAGGTTATTTGCAAGAAACAAGTCTCGTACACGATTTTTATACAAGTGTTATCACAACCGCAAAAGTAATTTGAAAAACTCTGAAAAAACAATTCAATTAATCTTGTTATGTTTAGAAGCTTCAACTCTTTTTAATTACTTTTAATAATTCATTGGTCAAATTAAAATTATTTGAATAGTTTTGGTACATAAAGATACTGAATGTTGTAATGACTATAAATGCCTGGTATTCGAGGAAATATGTACCGCAAGGAACATAAAGATACTGAATGTTGTAATGATTATAAATGCCTGGTATTCGAGGAAATATGTACCGCAAGGAACATAAAGATACTGAATGTTGTAATGATTATAAATGCCTGGTATTCGAGGAAATATGTACCGCAAGGAACATAAAGATACTGAATGTTGTAATGATTATAAATGCCTGGTATTCGAGGAAATATGTACCGCAAGGAACATAAAGATACTGAATGTTGTAATGATTATAAATGCCTGGTATTCGAGGAAATATGTACCGCAAGGAACATAAAGATACTGAATGTTGTAATGATTATAAATGCCTGGTATTCGAGGAAATATGTACCGCAAGGAACATAAAGATACTGAATGTTGTAATGATTATAAATGCCTGGTATTCGAGGAAATATGTACCGCAAGGAACATAAAGATACTGAATGTTGTAATGATTATAAATGCCTGGTATTCGAGGAAATATGTACCGCAAGGAACATAAAGATACTGAATGTTGTAATGATTATAAATGCCTGGTATTCGAGGAAATATGTACCGCAAGGAACATAAAGATACTGAATGTTGTAATGATTATAAATGCCTGGTATTCGAGGAAATATGTACCGCAAGGCGCAAACGATAATATGTGTCACCTGAAAAAGTCTCTCCTAATTCGTACTGCAGTTGTCTACACACTTGAAGATAGTGAGTGGGGTTCAAATTGTCCAGAGATGCTGCCAGTAAATCAGTCCGTTTTTTATTCATTGATATCTAAACAGCACAAATTGCACATTCAATTCAAAAATCTTTCTAAAAAACGTTCATGTTCAAACAGACTTCGAAAACTTCTAAAGAGAAGATTCTCAAAATCAGCTACAAAATTGACGCTTGGTAATAGTCATACTAAAAATTGTTTATTACCTCAAGAAGCAACCGTTTAAAAACTAATTATCACCGCAACACCCAAAATCATATTCAACAAAAATTATAAAAATTTTCACCCTTCGCTGTAGATCCGGTTCATACAATGCAAGACTCTTGAACAACTGGCTGTGATCTCTGCACAAGTCAATGTAATCCCTGCAATACTGCTCTTCTGTGAAGAACAACTTGGCCTGGTTGCATTTGGACTGGCCGAACAGAAACAATTGTCGCGCCTCCTCGAAATTGTTCACTTGATCTGAAGTGACTTCGAAGTTGACTCTCACTTCAGAAAAACAGTCCTCCATTAGTCTGATGAGAGGTTTGTTGATGTCAAACGAGCAAATTGTGAGCTCCTCCAGCGCAGTAATGGAATCCTGGCAGAATGAAACATTGTTAACAGTGGACTTGATGAACAAGTTAACCTCTTACTTTAGGACAGTGCAATTGTAAAATGTTCATTAATAGGTTGTCAAACTTAAGACAAGCATGTTCATAGTTTTGTGTATTGATAAAAGATTAATTTAGAAGGAAGCCTATTAGAATAGGAACACGCGTGTTTTTTATTGAAAAGTTCTGGAAAAGTACTTTCTTCACAATTGAGAGTAGTTCAATTTTCGATGTTCGTTTATTAAAGTTTTCGAATAAAACCATCTGTCCAAAAAATCAACTCCGATTTTTTTTATTTCAGGAGCATAGTCGCCTTAATAAGTGTGTTTATTGATAAAAATTAAGATACAAGGGTGCGATCAAAAAGCTTGCCTATTTCCTTGGACAAGCTAAAAATCATCTTGAACTGTTTGCTATATTAAGAAATTGTAACCAAGCGCAAAACCAGTTTAATTTTGGGACACCAAAATACACTCAAGTCAACGACAAAATCGGAAGGTGATGTCTGACTGTCAAAACTGACATATACACAGAGGCGACGCTTCACAAAAACTTGCAAAGATACAAAAGATAAATTGAAAAGTTAAATAAAAAGATAAATAAAAAATTAGATTCAAAAAGATAGATTGAAAAGATAGTTTGAAAAAATAAATTGAAAAGACGATTGAAAAGACAGATGAGCAAATTAAGTGAAAATTGAAAATTGACAGACAAACGGTTAAAATAATTCAATAAAAAAGATCGTTCGAAAAAAAATCATTTGAAATCGATTAAAAAAGAGATGAGAGAGACAGATGAAAATACAAATGAAAAAGATAGATGAAGAAATAGATCAAAAGATAGATAAAAGAATTAGTTACAAAACTGAGGATACATAGGAAGACAAACAAAGAGTTAGGTAAAATAGGCAGACCTATAAATTAGATTAAAAAGACCGAGGAAAAAATAGTTAAAAAGAGAGATAGATAGTTAGTGAGATAGAATATATGAACATATTTATCGACAAAAACGCTTCTTCTATCTATCTCTTGGTTCCTAAGCTTACAATTGTAAGCTTACAATTGTAAGCTTAGGAACCAAGAGATAGATAGAAGAAGCGATTTTTTGCAGCGTTTTTGTCGATAAATATGTTCATATATTCTATCTCACTAACTATCTATCTCTCTTTTTAACTATTTTTTCCTCGGTCTTTTTAATCTAATTTATAGGTCTGCCTATTTTACCTAACTCTTTGTTTGTCTTTGTTTGTCTTCCTATGTATCCTCAGTTTTGTAACTAATTCTTTTATCTATCTTTTGATCTATTTCTTCATCTATCTTTTTCATTTGTATTTTCATCTGTCTCTCTCATCTCTTTTTTAATCGATTTCAAATGATTTTTTTTCGAACGATCTTTTTTATTGAATTATTTTAACCGTTTGTCTGTCAATTTTCAATTTTCACTTAATTTGCTCATCTGTCTTTTCAATCGTCTTTTCAATTTATTTTTTCAAACTATCTTTTCAATCTATCTTTTTGAATCTAATTTTTTATTTATCTTTTTATTTAACTTTTCAATTTATCTTTTGTATCTTTGCAAGTTTTTGTGAAGCGTCGCCTCTGTGTATATGTCAGTTTTGACAGTGCGTCGAACGTCTTTGAACAAGAAAAACAATTCTATGAAAACAATAGGTTGAATTAAAACACAAAAATAGACAACTTGATTATCTTGACCTAAATTACATAGAAACAGAAAGATTAGCGACTCAATGATTAATGACTAATCAGTTATCTGTCCCTCCTCTCTATCATCTTAAGCAGACTTTTTGGATTTCTTGGACTTAAACCTCGCTGATATGGTGACCTTGTGCTTTTTAGTCCTTTCTTGTTGAAAAATGGACACTTCGACGACTGATGGTTTCTTTGTCGTCTCTGCGTCCATATCTCTGTCTTGAAGTTATGTGCTCGAAGCAGCCTTTTGTGACTTTGGATTCAAAGTCACTACCTCTGGGTCTGCCTCCAGCTCTCTATCTTCAAGTGGTGTGCTCGAAGAAGCCTGTTGTACCTCTGGATTCACTGTCACCGCCACTGGGCCTGCGTCTAGCTCTGTCTTCAAGTGGTGCGCTCGAAGAAGACTGTTGTGCCTCTGGATTTACACTCGCTGCCTCTGGGTCTGCTTTCAGCTCTCTATCTTCAAGTGGTGCGCTGGAAGAAGCTGTTGTGCTACTGCCACTGCCTCACGGTTCGATATTACTTGCAGCTTTCTTGTTGCAGAGGACCCTCCTCAGAGGAATCCGCTTCTTTCAACACCAGCTTCACCGATTTAACAGCTTTCTTCTTGCTTTTACCACTGTGCTCTAGAAAAGGAATTGTACTATTTGAACCTGTAATATTGCAAAAACCCAAGCCGGGAAATATTATTTGATCAAACTTAGTCGATGCACCAGCAAAAGCTCCAATTGATGAGGTGCGGTGATGACTTCTATTGTGTCTCCGTATCATGAGACTTCTGATAGGCAAATTGTCATCGGACTCCTTCAGGTCCACCAGCGATTGCAATCCCGGGTTACTCGGGTTCATGTTATAAATAATTAGATATAATTCCGCAGAATTAAATATTAGAAGTGGTCTTTACGTGTAAAAATATTTTCACTTGTTTTTTCAAGTCCGCCATAGAGGAATTTTTCCTGATTTCACGTGAAAGCTGGGCAAACTTTTCGGCATCTGAGATGTCGGATCATTTTTTAGGGAATCTATACTGTCCTGGAGAGAGGTCACCAGGCGATTTATTGCGAAATCTAAAAAGCTATTTGCTCCGACAAAATGTTTTTAAACTATCTTGAAGGCCACTTACGGTGCCTACTACTGATGACATTTGGTAGAGCATCGCAACAAATTAAAGACTTAACGTTGGACAAAAGTTTGACACGAATGATAAGGATGAAGGGACGGGTGGGTTCAGTCTGATAGTTTGAATTAAATTAAAAAAGACTGCTTAAATTGGTAGTCTGAGTTTTTTTTCGAATTCGCGTTATTATTAGCAGTAATTCAAGACAGCAGGGTCAACAACAGAAATCTTCTATAGAAAAGCGCAGATATTTACCAATGACCTCGTTTGAATTGATTTGCTCAACCATCCTCGTCTCCCTTGGTCTACCCCACCCTACCCTACCCCACCCCACCGTACTCCCCTAGGAGAAGGTAGGGTAGGGTAAGGTAGGCTAGGGTGCGCTAGGGTCGGGTTGGGTAGGGTACGGTACTGTAAGGTAGGGTAGGGTAGGGTGCGGTACTGTAAGGTAGGGTAGGGTAGGGTAGGTTAAATTAGGGTAGGGTAGGTTAGGGTTGAGTATAAAATTAGCGCTATACACAAAAGTGAGAATCAAAATTGAATGCCGCAAAACCAATTGAATGTCGCATAAACAACGCGCAAAAACTATTTACGTTGAGAAAGCATTTTGCAATCAAAAGCAGAAATGACCAGTGACCTTTCTCTCCAGTACAAAAAACGGAGCTGTATGGCCTAAATTAAGCCTAGCTTAGCCTACACTGTCCTACTCACACTTCCCCTTAAAGCGAGGTTAGGTAGGGGCGGGTAGGGTAGGTTAGAAAAGGATAGGGTATGTTCGTACCCTGCCCTTACCGGTTTTCAATTTATTGTTCGACAGACAGACCGACCATAATGAACCAAAAGAAACAATAACCTTCGATATCTTAGGGGTATGCCCCCGGTAAAAAAAAATAGTTGTAAGAGATTAAGTAAGTACATTAAGGTGCAAGAATTGAGGTTCAAGGGTAGGGTAGGCTCGGCATAAATCAACAACCTTCGATAAACTTGCTGGTGTGGCCTCGGTAGATTTTTTTTAATAAAGAAGAATAACCAATCAATTAATTACAATTGAAATATGATATTTGAAACAGAAAACTTAAAATGGGCGACAAATAGGGGTAATAAAGCTCGAGGATAAATATAAATTGGAGGGGAAGGGCTTGGTGGACATGGCTCTAAGCAAGAAATCTGGGGGGGGGGTGGGTAAAATAGTGTGTTTTATGGGAGTGGGTTAATAGTTAAGATTCGCCCCATTGACTGTTATTCACAAATAACAAAGAGATTTTTCAAGTGTAGATATACAGCGCTGCACATAAAGAAGAGAAACGGAGTGCAGCCAGTATTTAGACAGCCGCGTATTCATACTCGTCAGTATTTAAACAAATACTGTATGAACCAATCAGGATCGAGAAAAGACATAAATAATCCAAAATAAACAATAATTATTTATTAATTTCTTTTGTCTCGATTCTGATTGGTTGAAACAGTATTTGTCTAAATACTGACCACTCTGAATACGCGGTTGTCTAAATACTGATATGTAACCAAGGGAACTAATATCCAATAGCGCAGTAAAACTACGCGCACAAAACCACAAAACAATACGTTAAAAATTTATCAGCGAGAATTGGAAAGATTTTTGAATGAGTTCATTTGGCCTAAATTTGAATTTGTTCATTTTGCATAACTCAAAAAATCAAAAAAAAACTTACAAAAAATTTTGCCTTGCAATATACGATATGGCATATACGTGAAAAAATTCTTTTGTTAAACCTGCAAAATAAAACGTTGAAAACGCTTAAACACGGCGAGATAGTGAAGCCCGCATTTAAATATATAATAAATTAGAAATAAGCCTCGAATTAGCAAAAAATTCGGCAACTTCTAATATTTGAACCTGTGACCTAGATATTAAGAGTCTCACGCAATAACCACTCAGCCACGGAAGCTTATTTGGTGCCAAACACTAGCCACAACAAAAGCAGAGAACAGATGCTATGCAATTTTCAATGCTTCAGTGAAATTTCCAAATAAGTGAACACTTTAAATGAACACTTTTATTTGCCAATTAGTTTAGAAAAAAAAATTCGTAATACCACACTAAGCTGATCGCAAGTGTAATCAGAGAGAAACAAAACATGGAATTGACCTAATTAAGTAAAGAGGAAAAAAAGTTCACCATGGAAAAGCTTGTTTTTCAGACAGAATTTCAGACTCAGGGAAGCCTTAAAAAATTTGAAAGCAAAATATAATCATAACGGCAGATTAAGTTTTATAAACATAAAATCGGCTTTGAAATTAAATGACCTTTTATAAAATTAATCCAAATGCATTATACCTTGTATCTGTTCCTCATTTCCTGTTCGGGTATAGTAGCAAAAGTAGCCGACGCATTCAGCAAATTAATCGCATACTTCACACAGCATCTGTCTACATCAGCCTTGCAATGCTCCACTTTCTCTCTCAAGATCTCTTCATCAGGATCAACTTAACATCCGTCATCCCAAAAATATTAAGGGGGGGATGTTATCTTTTTGTCTTAAGTTTGAATATTCAGCTAACGAAAATTGCGTATTTTACACGCAGTCATGAGAAGTTTTATACCAAATTAATAACGTGATGGAAGATCTTAACTATCAGTTTGGGAAGTTAGATATTAACTTGGTACCCTTATCATCCTCCTCGCTCTCCGTCACACCTTCCAGCTTGATGTTCAGTTTTTCTAACGCACAGTAAGCCGAATTCAAACAAAGTCTTCCCTCGCTGAACATTTCATCTGTGACGAAGCATTGAGACAACGTCGCCGAATTAAGTGCCCAATCAACCCAGTCGACCTTTTCACCTCTTCGACTAGACTCCGATAACCTTTTCAAGGTCACATAACAAGCAAGAGTTGAATGTAATTTCTTGCCCAGATTTCTCCAAACTTGGGCTAATAAATACAAAGTCGTCGTGTGCAAAGTTTCAAAAGTATTGCACAATTTTTCGACGTGATTTTTACTTTCGCTGTCGATTTGATCAGGTTTCAAAATGTGTTCAAAAGTGAATGGCGGACTTTCTGATGAGTTTTCAGAGCTCCAATTTCTGTACAACATACAAGCATCTGTAAGGCAACTAAGAGCTTCCTCATAATAGGATTCTTCGTCGTTTCGAGACTTCAGAACAGCTTTTTGATTGAGGCACGAGATTTGAAGTGACACCGTCAGTTCAGGATCATTTGTTGGGCTAAGAGTAGAAAGAGATGCTTCGACTGTAGCTAAAGCCTAAAGCAATAAACTTAGATTAAAATCACCTCTGAAAAAATGAGCAGTTTTAATAAATTTCAATATCAAACGTAGAAATTAGACAGATGGAAAAGTTTAAATGCGCACAAGATCATCGTAAAGCTCTTTCAATTTCATGAATCTTTTAGAATTATTATTTAATTTGATGAACTTACCAAATTTAAGAAAAATGGATCAACAAATAATTTATTTTATCTTATTGGTTACTCTGGAAAAAAACTAAAACATGAAACTTGATCGCGTTTTTTGTGCCATGAGTACTTTTATTACTCATGAGCAAAATTTGCCTTCCTTTCCGCAATTAATTTCGATCGAACTCGAAAATAAACCGAACCTCACCCACATCGAAGAGCGATCATTGGAACCCAACGACGAAGAAGGCTGATTGGCGCTGCAAATGAAACATCGTTGCGCAGTTACTAACAAACATAGTCAACTGACAGTTGAAAAAGAGTAATGAACGTACGAAAACGATGAAAAAAATAGATGGCCTTGAAGCGGTTTGAATTTGTAGAACAATTTACGTTGGACACTTTTTTCTTAAAATAAACCAATTTGAGAAACATGGCTCAATAGGCAAAACTTTCATTTCGCTGGGAAATCTGACAATTAATTTCCATTTTCGAAATTAGAAGTTGATCATTTTTTTCGTGACCTTTAAACTTTAGCTGCTCAACAGTGGAGTTTGCCTTCCTTTTAAAAATGAAAATGCCTTGAACTTAAGAAATAACACGTCAAACCGCGAAAAATCAAAACTTAGCGTGACCTAATTTCAAGACTTTTTCCTGAGAAAAAATGAAAAATCACCAAGACCTATAATAAGAGTACACTCTACGTTCATTACTCTTAAATACCCATACACAAGCAAACCCGAAATTATCTTCGAAAAGATCTCACAATTCTAATTTGAGGATGCATTTGTCATGAATAAAAATCATGGCAACACCTGGTATTGATCAAACGACCTATACGAACTAAAGGCTTAAATGACCCATTTTTGGAAAGAAATTTTGACTGCAAATTTCGAAATATAAATTGAATTATATTAATTCTGGTCAAATTATGCGCAATTTTTCTCTACACTTTTTGTCTAACCTTAACCCAATGAGAAAAAAAAACTTTGAAATTTTAAATTTTGTTCATTTTGTCCGGATAACTTAAATCAGCGCTGTATTTTCAGCCGATAAATAAGAATTTCGACAAAAACTTGTATTAATTTAACTTGTGAAACTTTGTTCAGACAAGAAAATTCAGTAGAATGGCTTCAGAGCAGTTCTATAATTTTGTTCATTACAGATAACAAATGTATCAGCCAGAAACTTTAACTGATATTCTGGAACAAGTCAACCAAACTGAACAGCATTAATGTCAGTACAAGATGTAGAAATACTGATTTTGGGCCGTTTTGTGGGTAGCATTCACAAGAATTAAAACAAAAAACAAGTCCCGTTTGTACCGAAATAAAAAATCGGTCGCTTTTGTATCAGAAACTGTTCAATCGGCAAAAGACTACTCACAGCCGACTACATCTGTTTAAGGTAACCGTAACTTACTTTCGTATAAACCTCACTCCTACTTTTCCTCTTGGCAAGCTCACAACACGATGGTGCGACTGCTGTGGTCACTATTTTGATGGTTAGGCTGTTTGGTTTTATGCTTTAAAAAACGACAAATCCGATTTCGAGTTGAATAATTTTAATACAAACGCGACAAACTTTTCATTTTGGTACAAATTAACTTTAGTAAAAATAGAACTTTGACCGTTTAGTGCACAAAACCCAAGAAACTGATCGAAAACTGCACAAAGAAACAAATTGTATTTTTGATTGGAAAGCTTTGATTTATCGCTCAACTGATACCAATTAAATTATCAATACAACATATAACCTACTGTAAGAACCAAAAAATAGCTTTTTCAGGCATTATGACCATCAAAAGGCGATTTTAACCAAAAAAACATGGCCAACAAATAACAAAATTCAAGGAAACCGAAAAAAAATTTAAAAAATTGAAGCTCTTTAAACTTCAAAAGTCTTTCATTATCAACATTTTTTCTTAAAAACTAGCCCAATTTCAGAAAACTGAATCAATAAGTAATTTTTGTTATTCCGCTGAAAAATCTAAAATCAAAATCCACATTCGACACAGGTTTTTTCGCGCCATTATCGCTTTCGTAATTGGAGAGCGCAGTGTGCCTTCCTTTTAGCAAAAAAATTGAACTTGAAAAAAAAAACCGCAAAACAAATCAAATTTGGCGTGAATGACTTTTTCCCAAAACGAAAAAAAATGCGCCAAATTTTGCCAAAAAGTTAGCAATAAATTGCGTCTAATTTTGCCAAATATTGCACAAAAATTGCGTTTAAAATCCTAAAATTTTGTCATATTGCGTTATATTTGCGGCTAAAATCTACGAGAAAAACAAAACAAATGTCTGAAAATTTTTATACCTTCAGCTAAAGGCTGACGTTTCTGCAGTGCATCAATGGTCGAGGGTAGGAAATCAAAAATTTCCTGCTATAAAAGCTAGCTCGGCCGCAACAATTTGCTGCAGAACTGTGAATTCAGCCATATATTTTGTTTAATTCTTGTAGAAGGAGTGAAAATTGCGTTATTTCAATAAACATCGCGTCTCGGAAAAAAACCAGCAAAAATTGCGTTTGCAATAGCGTTATTGCAAACGCAATCTTTTCCGGGCCCTGGTAATAACCCATTTGATCAAGCTTAATACATAATTTTTGAATGTGGTTGTGTTGTGATAGAGCAAGAATTTAAATGGATTTACTTGGCTGAATTCCTCTGTCTCCAAGTAATTCAAACTCAAGTAATACTGCACTAGGGCCAACGCAACATGCACTTTCTCTTCCTCTTTAGTTGGGACTCCATCCGAAACAACATCACAATCTCCACTTGGTTGCAGATGCGACTCCTTTCCTAAACAAAAACTTAACTTGAAATCAAAAATTGAAAATGAAACTTCCGAATTCAAAAATAATTTTGGATACATTAAAGTCCTGAGTTAAATGAAAATACAACCCGTGAGCGTAAAAATACCTAGAAAACTTACAAAGAAACTCGATAACCAAAACTGAAAAAAAATCACCGAAAAAAGCTCAAAAACAGTAATTATGAAAAAATTGAAGAATTTATATAACAATGAACGTCTTTTGAGGATGTAGAAACAACAACCATTATTTTAAAAACATAAAACTACCATTATTTCCTTTAACTGCACTGGACAGTTTGATCTTAAGCTCGTTGAGGATCTCATTGGCCGCATATCGTGACTTGTATGGCTCTTCCTCTGGGTCGTTTTTGGAACCCTCGATCAGTTCCAAAACCACTTTGAATTTCTCTTGGCAGTCAGAAACAAGCTCTGATTGGTCCATTTGAATTGCGCTTCTACGTCAATTTAGCATATCATAATCAAGGAAAATTTCAACACTAATTTGTACTGAAATCAAAACCAGCTTACATATAACGGTTCCTAGTAGCCAATTAATCATCAACATACCAGCAACATATCGAACAGGGTACCGCAGATTTTGCAAAATAAGAGGACAAAACGAAATCAAAATTTTTTGGAGAGCCAACAGACAGCTGTGAAATCATTATGAAATCAAACCCAACAGAGAAAAAAGAATTTTTCCATTTTGGATTCGCGTTTCACAGAAGATATTATATTAAAACTTTGACTTAACAAAAACTTGCCTGGATTCGAACCTACGACCTTCACCGCCCCAGGCGTATTTGTTGCCTCTCTGCCAGGTTTGTAGGCAAAACCGAGAAAAACGATTTTATTATCAATACACAGAGGCGAAGATGCTCGGACTCGAACCCAAGACCTACTGCGATCTAGAAATCTAGAGTGTGACCACTAGAGTCTGACGCACTAACCAGAGAGCCACGGACGCTTAGTCCATCAAAAACACTCGCCACAAAAAAAGCCGAGAACAGATGCTATGAAATTTCCAATACTAGGGATAGTGATTATAGCAAAAAGGCACAGAAGTGAACACTTTTATTTGCGAGTTAGTTTAGAAAAAAAAATTGTACTGAAACGTTAGCTGCTCTCACTAACCACTGAGCTAATATTATTGAGCTAATAGTATCGTTCAAATCAAGAGCTTTACATCTATTATCATTTTCAATCATTATAAAAACTCGCTTCCATTCGTTAAATCAACCAACAAATTAACGGCTCTGGTTTGAAAATCGGAATGAAAATTTAATAGCTCGGAATAAATTATAGCGTTTAATGCGCAAATAGCACAGAAATATACCACAACTTTAATCTAAACAAAACATTTGAAACTAGCCAACAGACAGTTGGAAAAGCGCCAGAGAACGCAAGAAAACAAAAAAAAAAAACGACTTTTCGTTTGAAACAAATTCAACTTTCGAATTTCTAAGAAAAAAATATATCGCCTCAGGAACTATAGAAAAATAAATGTAAACATAAAAACATATCTAAAATTTTCGAATTTTACCTAAAAAACTTTCGAATTATAAGTAAAAAATATATCGCCTCCAGCTCTTTGAATTTCAAAAACAATCAATAGTGGAAACTTTTTCGATAAAATTAATTACATTTGAGAAAATTGGATCATCTTAAAATTGGAATATCTAAAAATAAGACTTCACATTCGAAATTAGAAGTCAATCACGTTTTTCATGACTTTTACACTTTTGCTGTTCGATAGTGGAATTTTTCCTCACTACATTCATCCAATTAAGAATTGCAAAAAGTGACGAGCTGCAAAAATGTGGTGAAAAAAACTTAAAGAAAAAGTTCAATGAGCCGAGGAGTTCTCTCGTTAAGTTAAAAGCCATGTAAAAAAGAAATTAAAACTACAGACCAGTTTTTCTCAACTTTTTCATTTTGTTTTTGGAATCCGACTCATGACTAATAGAGCTACATTATGGTACCACAATTGGCTTTTGGAAGCTTCTCTATGAACGTATTAAAAAAGCAGGCAGAGAAAACCACCAAGGCCATAGTTTCTTCCATGTATTTGGTGACGTGGTCGAAACAAAAAATTCTGGTACTCGTTTTCAATAACATTGCTGACCACAGGGTAACCAAGGAACGCTAGATTGCCAGCCTCGCAGGGACTAATCTGATATTTTTCTTCTAAATAGCTGGTTAAAAAGCGATGTTTTGCAAATTAGATTATGAAATCAGGTCAACGTAAATCAACTGATGCGATACTATTCATATTCACAGACAATAAGGATGCATTAATATAAACAGACGAGTCTCCGCAGCACCATAAGAAGACTCTTTGAAAATGTGGTTAGATGTTCGGGGTTAAATTACCCGTCGCAGTGTATAAATAAAAGATCTTTGTGTGAAGTCGCTGAGGGATGGGGGAAGGGGAGAGGGGTGTAACTATTTGCTAGATGAGACCCTTCTCTCGTTTATATTGCTCTAAATTGAGGGATCTTCTCGGCACAATAGCTGGAGCGGCACCGTCCATTCCAAGCGGCCAGTCTTGTTTCACTGCTTTCGAATAATTGCCTTTCGCTGAAACAAATTTCCATAAACTTGAAAATCACATTCTTTCAAAAAAAAAGCAATTTAAAATTCATTTTTTTGCATAAAAATTAAGCAATATCCTTGAAAAAAATAATAAACAATAGACTGGATAACAATTGTTCGGCCCTCAAACTTTACATTTTTGTGAGTATGAATATGCTGAGTGTTTTTCCAATTTGGCTTGACTTCATCCACAAGGGAAAGAACCAACATACGAGCTGTACAGCTCATCACGAAGAACCGAATGTTGTGCCTCTGCTTGCACTTTTTTTTTTGGTTATTTTTCTGGTGTAATGTTGCGTAACCCTCAAGCAACGAGCACGGATCATAGAGGGCCTCAAACATCCGACCTTTCGATTGAGAGGCGGAGACGTAACCACTTCACGACCGCTCCCAAAAAAAACAACGAAAGAGGGCAAAAAATAGAACTTACTGACTTTTAGCGATTTATTTTCAATAAATGGTTACAAAATTACACGTGCATCTTTAGTGACTAATTTAAAACATTTTCACTTTTAATCAACGCCTTGCTATTCGAACTAATGGTCAGCAATTTGAACCTGCAAAACTTTTTTTTAAATAATTTTCACCTTTAAACTCATATAACTCTTCGAAGCCAGTGGCAACTAACCAGAGGGTGCGTTTGAGCTGAACACGTCAATATTGATGTCGAAATTGTGAACTGAAAAAAGATCTTCTCTCTTCCGCAGAGACTGATTTCCATCTCCATCTGTCACGTCCATCGAAGAGGCACTGTTAGAGTCGTTATTATTCTCGTTGTTTTTGTCGGAGGGGTTCTTGGAATTGGATGCTCCGTTTGACTGGTTCTCCTCCGAAGGGTCTGTGGGTTTGGCGGAGGTCTTCAGGTGCTGCATGGATTTCTCCCGCAGTTGTAACAACAGGTTCTGGTCGATCACTCCCTCTCGGGCCTGGAAAGCATGCACTCGAACTTTAGCTGCGGGTAAAATCAACCGATTTTCTTAAACTCGCAACTTAAACATTATTAAAGTATTCTTTTTTTCTCTTGCTGACCCACAGCAAACGCATTTTTTCGAAACCTCCTACCCCTCCTCCCCTCCCCCCCCCCCCGAAACTGCATCTTCATGAAAATGGAAGACTTAAGAGCTGTTAACTATTGTAGTCAAATACTACCACGCAGCCAAAATGAAGTCTGATCTCTCAGCCAAGTTAATCACATAACAGACTATTTGCATGCCGTGATTTACGACTGCCTTGAAATTAGACAGGACCTTTGTGACGAGAGTGGGTCGGGACTTCCTGCGGGTGAAGGGATCTTCGGCTTTGCTGCGCATCTCTCGGAACTCATTCTGCATCGCAATTTCCGCCTGCTTCAAATTGTGCATCTTGTTCCGATTGTTGATGTATCTGAAAAAACAACAGCTCCGATAGTAATTCGAATAAATTTCTACATGAGCCAAGAATTAATTTCTACATATTCGAATTTATTTCTACATATTCGAATTTATTAATTCCAATCAATTTCTACATATTCGCTCAAACAGCCCAACCAAATTTTATTTACTCCAGAAAAACTAAAACTTACTTCCAAAACTGTTAAAAACGAGATTTTGCATTAGTGAAAACTAGTTCCCCATTCAAGATCACGTAGTTTACTTTTGCTACAACTTTAGCGAAGACAGCTTTATATGAATGAAATTCTTGTTCGCGGCGAAAATTTGCCTCATTTAGAAAAGTGAGAACTCACAAAAAGGTAATTTAATCGGGTTTCGTAGCTTTGAAGTTCCGTGAAACATCACATATCGAATAGCACGCCCGCTTGAAAGCTCTGCCTTGTTAAATCATTGTATTTTGAAAGACATAAAAAACATGGCCAACTGACAGTTGGAAGAGTCAATAAACTCAAGTAAAAAGAAAAACATACGGACTTATTCCTTGAAAATATCACAACTTTTGAATTTCAAAGAAAAAAAGTATTTCGTGATCTTTACGCTTTCGATATTCGATAGCAGAGCTTGTCTTCCTTTTAACAAAGGCAATGAACTGAACCGTAAAAAGAACGTTCCTGAAAAAAAAAACTTAAAAAAATCATCACGACCTATATAAGAGCCTGAACTACGTGCATCGACTATCGACTATCAATCATGGCAAGCTATCGCTTGTTGAAATGGAGATGTGTGCTTACGTGACGGCACTGATGTTCTTGGTCCTCTGCTTGTCCAGCATCTCCGCTCTCTCCTCCAGTTCGTTCAGGTCGTTCTGCACTTTGCTCAGCCTCTCGATGTCCCCCTCCACCTCCGCCTCCAACTTGTCCTTCATCAGACCCGTCTTCTTCATCGCGTAGTTGCGGGGGTTGTTGCGGAACCTGAAAACAAAAACACACAAACACATGCATATTTTTAGTGCAATTGATCTAAAACCATCTCTTATAGGGTGGACTACTAATATAAAACAAGCTTCTGAAGTAAATATAGACAGAAAACGGGACTGAAGTAACGACACAGAGGCATAGCCACCCTTCGCAAACACAGGCAACAAAAACGTCAAAACGGGGCTTTAAAACACACGCCCCAAAAAATAAGATTCCATAAAAAAATAAGTTTCTGGAGAATCACTTGGCTTATCCGTCAAAACAATGCACAGAAATGTTTGACTTTGGTTAGCCAAATAAAAGTGAACTGAACTGAGCTCACAACACAAGTTTATCTTGTGTAAAAAAAATCTTTGTTTAAGAAACGCTCGCAAATTTTAGAATGAGGGAATTGGATTTGAGCTACCTGCTCTTCTCCTGTACAATTGCATCTACGTCCTGTTCAGTGTAGCTGTGGTTGGCATAACTCAGCAGCTGTCTCTGCTTCTTCAGCACATCGTCTATCTGGGGCAGGGGCTGGTTGTTGGCCTGCATGTCCGAGTACCACTTGGTGAACTCCGTGTCTGAGATCGGCTGGTTCGAGATGAACTCCAGTCGATACATACGCTCTGCTTTGCAATATCTAGAACCCCATTCTATTGTGATTAATGCAACACTAGATGAAACTCTTTCAAAAACTCATCTAATTATTTAAGTTTTTCAAATCATGCTATCCAACTTGCAAATATACAAAACCGAAATTGCCATATAACTATGCTTTATCATCACTATTAATTATTTTTTGAAACTTTTGAGAAGTCCAAAAAAAATTAATGGCAAAATTCAATTTACACTGCAATAGTGGTCGCCAAAAAAATCAGCGGACGTACTTTAATTTGAGTCCTTTGTTGGTCGTAGTTCCCTCTGTTTGGTACACTTTCCCCGTCTCCACCACTGACACAATCTCTGCTATCCTGTAAACCGGCAGCCCCTGAGGACCCTGGCCCAGGTTCACCCGCACGAACGCCCCTTTCACAGCCTCCTCGAAGAAGGGTGCGTGGCACCAGCGGGCAAGTTTGTGACGGGACAGACGGATTCTCACCAAATCGTCTTTCGTTTCGATCGGTTTCGATTGAGTTCTGAAATGATTGAACTTCGCTCATCGCACAACTGCAAAACTATGATGTAAAACAAACTATTCAGCAATTTCTATTACTAAGATTCGTAGGTTTCTCAAAATGCATCAAAAATTATTGTCCAAGATATTACACTGAATGTACCATCAACTCTTCAAATTTCAATTACTCTTAGGATTTGGTTTATACGAAGGCTCACCTGGTATCCTCGTTGTCCGATCCCTTTCCGTCACTGTCTGAATCGGAAGAACTATCCCCAGACCCGTTTCCCAGACTGGAGCCAGAGCTACTACTGCTCGAAGACCTCTTCCTTGGTCTGAATTTAATTTCTGATTTATCGTCTTCGTCATCATCATCATCGTCGTCTGAAGAGTAAATGTCACTGGGCCTGAGCTTGGTGGGTTTCCCGTCACTGTCTCTTTCTTGAGCCTCTTCTCGTTTCCTTTGAGCCTCGATGCTTTTCTGTTCCCGCTGCTGTCGCTGAGCTTCAGCTGAATTCACAAATATCATACTACAGTCATAAAAAATTCACCTGTCTTTCAAAACAGACCTATTTAACCATTTTTTTTAAAATAAACCAATAGCCAATCGATGGTTTTCCTAAAAAAAACATTCGGAAACGCCAGAATTCCGGAAAATAACTCAATTTCTAAGAAACCAACAATTCAGTCAGTTTTGGACAGTTTAAACGGCGTTGATTGGCAGAAAACTTTCGCCCATTCGTGCATGAGAATAGCCTCTGTCAATTTCTCTAGCAAAATTACCACTATTTGTTTGGAAGCAATTAATTCAGAACCTTGTTTATATGTTTGCGTTCCCGATAAAAAGAACAAATATTTGTTGTTAGAAAACATTTGGATTTCAATGAAAATTTAAAGCTTCGAAAATTCAGCGAAAACTTTCTTTTTATGCCTTTTGGGAATTATGCAATTAGGAAACTTCCTTGAAAAGTTCCCAACTTGCATTAAAATTACAAAGCTATCAAAATCCATACCGTGATAAATCAAATTTGACCGAACAACTTTTAAGACTTTTTCTTGAAATAAAAACAAAAAACCACATGATCTAAATAATTACCTTCAATTCGTTCATTGACGCTTAAAAATCAGAGGAACTTAACATAACAGAGGCCAAGCTGCGCTTTGCACCACTTCCGATACAACAAAGCTCAAGAACTGGTAAAGACGACTTCGAACGTTACCAATAAATGAACTAGAAAAACGAAAAAAATATATTTATAAAAAAACTTGAAAAATTGCATTTTATTCATGTTTAAAATTATTACAGTTTTTAAATGGGTCTTTGAGGGGTTTAATTTGAGCATTTAAAAAATTGTGGCCAGAGTCTTATCGATCTCAAATAATACCGCAAACTTCTAGGATTTAAAATATTAGGTGACTAAAACGACAGAACTTAAGCCGAGAGCCAAACAGCTGAAAATCAAACAAAAATTTTCAGCATATTTTCCCAGAAAAAATCGGATGCACTGCCCACATAAAGAAAGAATAGAAAGAATTTATTTTTCCGATTGATAAATATAGTCATTAGCAAAACAAAAGTAATTTCATCAATGCATTTATCATCGGAATGGACAACTAACGAGACCATTGGTCCACATAAATGTTGCCCTTATATAGCACACATACTGAATTTAACATCAAACAAAAGAAAGAAAGTTTTTTTTTTTATGAAGAAATTAACAAAAAACAAAAAAATACGTGATTTTGATTTTTACCAAATTGAAAACATATTGTTCTTCATAGCGCTACCTATAGCAGTTCAGCTGATGCTCCGGCATGGGAACACGTCGCTTCAAAAAAAAAATTGAAGAAAATTTTCTAAGTTTTCGGGAAAATAATTATTGAGAAAAAATTCAAAAAATCATAAAAAGGGCCATATCTCCTAAACTAAAAGGTTCTGCAGGGGCATATTTTTTCACATAAATCGCAACCTATAGTTGATTGTACTGTAGCCTTTAACCAAGGTACTGAAATAACACAAAAATTAAAAACTGAAAACTAAAGTTGCCAGCTCGTTGTTACCTAGCAGGTATCCATTCTTAAATTTATGATAAAAACTTGTAATTTTTCCAATTTTTGCATTTTCTATCCCATCTTCGAGTAAGCCTCTAGTTTTCAATACGTTGTAAAGCCTAGACCCCCGATAGGCAATTGATTGCCGTTCAAATCGTTTTTTTCTAAATGATTCTTTAAGGAGGTTTAAATTAGCCCTACGCGTTACTTTAGTGGGATTTTCGAATTCAAACACATTATTCAAAAAATCCTCACTGTGTAGTTTGTTTAATGATCGGAGTACAAATTTTAGTAATTCATACACATGAAGCTCATGCACGGTTAGCAGTTGATTTCTAATAAAAATGTCATCCGATTGTTCGCGACGATTTCGGAAGAAAATCAATTTTAAGATCTTTCTTTGAAGTATGTAAATCGGCATTAAAGAAGAGTAGCTGCAACAACCGTAAACAAGAATACCGTATTGGATAGTTGATTTAATGTTAGTTCGATAGTAGTCTAAAAGCTGATGACGTGGAGCAAAATACCGTAATTTTGAAATAATGCTTGACTGTTTCGCTAATCGCATTCTTACATAATCAATTTGCGAAAAGAAGGATAATTTTGAGTCTACATATATCCCTAGGTATTTACAAACAGGTTCAGTTTTAATAGCACAGCTGTTTAATTGAAAGGTCATTGAATTGGAAGTCTTAATATTCATTTGTACTGTTTTATCCATATTAATAACTAATTTATTGGCATTTAGCCAGTAGTTCAAGTAAGAGTTGTCATTTTCAATTGCAACATTTACTTGTCCTAAAGCAGTGACATTGGTGTCGTCTGCAAAGAGGACAATTTCAGATGATTTGCAAACATGAGGAAGGTCATTTATATATATAAGAAAGAGTAAGGGACCCAAAATTGATCCTTGAGGAACACCGCATTTTATAGAAGACCAGTTTGAAGAAACGCCATTTATTTCTACACGTTGTTTTCTGTTCTTTAAATACGATTCAAACCAATCATAAGTAATTCCTCTGATTCCACAGGACTCTAACTTCTGTAATAAAAGAGAATGTTCAATTGTATCAAATGCTTTTTTCAAATCAAAAAAGAAAGTAACAACATTTTGATTACCACATGACCGCATTTTTTCAGTAAAATCAACGAGTGCGTCTATTGTACTATGCTTTGACCGAAACCCAAATTGTCTACTATAAATAAGTGAGAATTTTTCAAGATAATTGTAAATACGAGTGTACATGGCTCTTTCAAATATTTTACTCCAGACAATTAATGGCGATATTGGTCGGTAATTATTCTCATCAACTCTGGAACCACTTTTATGCATGGGTATGACTTTTGCTTTTTTTAATTTATCAGGAAAAATGCCTTGGCTGAAGGATTTATTTATTAACAGGGTTAAATACGGAACGGTAGCAGATACCGACAATTTAACTAAAATGTTATTAATATTGTCATCACCCGACGACGATTTATTATCAAGTTTGTTAATTATTTGTTCTACTTCAAGTTCAGTAACCTGATAAAGAAACATTGAGTGTCCCACTTGTTTAAGAGGTGGTAATGGTAGACAGTCCATGTCTTTTTTAAGTTGAGTGCCAATTTCGGAGAAAAAAACATTAAATCGTTCAGCAACATCAAAAGTTGATGGAGTTACAGAGTGCTGCTGACATGACTCTAGTATTGGTACGTTTGCATCATATATATTTTTACCACTTAAATCATTGAGTAATTTATATGTTTGTCTTGAGTCCCCAATACATGCAGAGAATTTGTTACGGTAAAACTTCCGTTTTGCTCCTTTAATTTCTTTTTCTAGCTTAAATCTTAAGTTCTTAAAATTTTCCAATAAATTGGAATTATTTGGTTGACATTTCCATGAACGATGTGCTCTGTTTCTTTTGGTTCTTGAATTTTTCAACTTGTTGTTGAGCCATTTCGGTTTTTTTAAATCAGTAATTGTGTTTTCCCGCATGGGTGCAAAATTTGTGGTAACTTTATTAAAAACCGCAGAAAAAATGTTAAATGCTGCTGATGGATCTGCAACATTGCAGATTTTTAACTCTTTTTCATTCAGTTCAATTTGCAATGAGTTTATGTACTTATTGGATTTATCTTTATCTTTGACAAAATTAAGGTCACGAAAAGTCTGAGTTTTTTCATTTTTTAAACTAGGTGGAGTCCATTGCAAGAGGACAGGAAAATGATCAGAGAAATTTTGGTATTCTAAAGTGTGTTGATAGGCTTCATTCAGGTTTTGATAAATGAAATGATCTAGACAAGTGTTTGATGTTTGAGTAACTCTTGTTGCTTTTGTATCACCTAGTTCGAATCCATTTGCAAAAATACAGTTCATGTAATTGTTCGATAGTTGATTAATCTTTGATATGTCAATGTTAATGTCGCCACAGATTATAAAAGGAGTTGATGGCGAATAGTTTTCTTCTAAAAAATTCTCGAATGTATCTATGAACCGTAGTTTGTTAATTCTAGGTGGGTTGTAGATTACTGCTACTTTGAATTGGTAGTTATCTTTTTCAATAACCACTAGAATGCATTCCTCGAGGGTTGTGCTGATTTGTTTTATAAGCTTGAAATCTTTGCGTATTTGTATCATTACTCCGCCTCCGCGAGTTTTACGGCATGTTGCAAACTTATTATAACCTTCAATGAGATAGCATTTATTATCATCATTTTCTGTTAGCCACGTTTCTGATAGGCATAGAATGGGGGGAGGAGACACAAGACTATATACTAGTGCTTCCAATTCGTTAAGATGACCTTTCAAAGAGCGAACATTTATATGTAGCACAGAAAATTTAGGTTCCGGAGGGGGCCTCCGGTTGGTTGAAAACACCAGTGAAGCAATTTATAACATCATTATAATAGTAACCAAGTGTGTGACCACCCTCATAGAGCCCAGTAATTTTATTTGTATAGTTGTCATTTCTGTACTGGAAGAATATATTGCCCTCTCTGGACCAAGCGGAAGCGATGCGCTCATCTGTTTTCATCAATTTTAGAAAGTTGAGTCTCGCCTTGGTAAGATCTTCGAATATTTTCACCTCTTTCATGCCCTCAGTCTCATTTAGCTGGCGTTTCTTCTTTAATATATCTATTTTAGCTGTTCTGCGACAAAAACGAACAATTATTGGCTTTGTGGTGCCCCGACCCGGCAGGCGATGAGCAACAGATATGTCTTGCTTGTTGACGCTTGAACCGATTTCATTTGCAATTTTTATCACTTTGTTTGCTGTCTCTTCATTGGATTCTTGCGTTCCGGTATCGCTCGCTACACCGATAATCCGGATATTTTCTCTTCGAGTGTAGCTTTCCACTATCTCAGCTTCTGACAGACTTTTGAGGTAGCAGCGTGCTTCTTGCGCAGATAATTGAGCTTTAACTTCGGAGAGAATTTGTTTCTTCATGTCTTCCGTAGCATCCGTGACCATAGTCTTCATCAGCTCTTTCATCTCATTTTTCAGGTTTCCAAACATTATTGGGATAATTTCGTTGATTGATGTTTTGATGGTAGTTTGGATTAATTGCACTAGGTTGTTATCAGCAGTTGTCTCCTGTTCTATGGGGCTCAGCACCGCACATCCCCGTTTACTGCATGACTTTGGGATGGGCGTCATACCTTGGTACCTTAGTGTGGGAATATCTTCGGTATTGGTTTCAGCTTCAGTATGCATTTGCAATATGTTGTTTGAATCAGCATCAGCATTAGGGATATTGTCAGGTTGGGTATCAGTCATGATCATTTACTGCCTCTATTTAATAAGTTTATCACAACAATTAGGCTAATTAGGCATAGGATCCACGAGTGTTTTTATATATAGTGTATTCATGATGGTAACGACCATTTGGAAACTAAACCTACAGAGTTTAAAACGACAACCATGAAGCCGAAAAATCATCAACAAAGAACTTATATCGAAATTCTACAATAATAAATACAATGGATACAATTCTAGACACAGCAATTCTAGACACAGCAATAGTTACTAGAAGCAGTAGTTTAACTTGAATTTTCAAGAAATTGAGGATGCCAGCAGCACAATTCAAGTGATTTTGTTAAACAAGTTTTTAACACGAGAAAATATATTTAGTAAAATCGTTCACGAAATTCTGGAACTTTCCGGTATTTCCTACCGAATTGAGGAATTAAATGTGAAAATTGCCGGCGGAACTGCCGAACATCTCTAGCTTTGATACCGGTTGCAAATGGCAAGCGTAACTAAGTGACTTGACTGACCATTCTGTTTCTTGCGCTCTCTTTCGTCTTTCAGTCTCTGGATTGCATTCATTTTCATGGACTTCTCATTTGTCTCCACTTTCCGCTGGGGCCTGGGTGTCTGTTCCTCGTCCTCCAAATCCACTCCTGGGGACCCTGGCGGCGAGTCGTCTGCTACTGTGGAAGCTGCTTTTGTGTTCCATTTCTCCTTCTTTCCTTTCTTCTTCTTATCTTTCTTCAGTTGGCGCTCAATTTTTAATCTAAAAACCCAAGATGGTGAAAAATTGTCAAAAACGTATGACTCAATTTCGTATTTCACATCAAAAATTAGGACTATTTAAATATTGCAAACAGTTTCGTTAAATTTGCATTGTATATGTAGCGTCTGAATCACCAGGTTATCTAAAGTTCTATTCAAATTAGCGATACTTCAAAAATCACGCACTAATCGTCTAATGGCATTTAAGCCTTTATGTGCATCGCGTCACTCTATATGACCCCATGTGAGCCAGTCTGAATCGAATGCGAGAAAAGATTTTATTTATCCGACAAATAGTTATTCAACGCGAACATTTGAGATACCAAAAGACTCCTGACCTGGTCTTGAGATTCTCTCTGTTCTCCAGTCTGTTGAACAACTCCTGTTCCCTCTCCTTCTCAGACATGGCCTTCAACTTGGCCTGGTCCTCCTCGTCTCCCATCAGATTCGCATCCAGTCCATCCGGATACATGCCATCCTCGTTCGCCTCCATCTCGTCATCCCCATTCGACCCCTCATCATCATCGTCTTCCTCCTCCTCCTCTTCTTCTTCCGCTTCGCTTTCCTCTTCCACCTCTTCACCACTGCTCGACTCTTCCTCGACTTCGCCTGAAAAACGAGGGCTCAACTTTCTCTGGACAACTAGGTAGAAAAAAGTATCTGGTTCCTTTAATCTGCTTTGTACATTTTGGGCTTTTATATTTTTTCGAATGAATTAAGGGTTCGTTTGAACATCTGCTGATAACAATGCTTTCATTTCTAGTGTTGATCAGGTTTGGATCATTTCACCGAAAAGCAAGTGTGGCCATAAAAAATAGAACTGAATGAAACTCACCTTCTTCCTGTTCAGTGACTACCTAAAAACAATCAAACTAGCTTAGTGAATAATGTTCAAAACAAAGTTTTTAAAAAGTTTATTAATGCTTGCTCTTTCTAGGACTAGCAAAAATTTGTTATCTTGTTGTGTGTTTTTAAAATAGTTTCAAATCATTTTCATGTTAAGTACTTGATTTCATGAATGACTTCATTCGAATAACTTTAAAGCTACTAAAGATGACGCTTATTCAAAATTTTTAGAATATTCAAAACCGTTCCGGCAAATAAGCGACTTATTTGCCGGACACGGTTTTAAACATTTTAAAAATTTTGAATTAGCGACATCTTTAGTAGCTTTAAAGTTATTCGAATGGAGTCATTCATGAAATCAAATACTCAGGTTGAAAATGATTTGAAACTATTTTAAAAACACACAAGATAACAAATTAACCTTATTTAATTTTGTTCGTTTAATTTTCTTATGTTCGTCTCCGCAAATTTTTCAACGTGAACACAAGAAACTTAAGGAGACGTGAACAAAAGAAAATTAAAGGAACAAAATTTTAAAAAGCCCTTACAGTCAAGATTCGAAAGAAAATTGAAAATTTCAAAAAGTTTTTCCCAGTGTCGAGACAAACCGGTTTGAAATTTTTGGTTTTTCGTCTCAATTAGAGCGAATAAAGCAAACGACAGGCTTACAATCGCCTTTTTTGATGGCTTAGAAGCCTACAATGCAAATGCCTGAAATTAAAACGTAAAAACTCAGTTTTTGGAATATGTTAGCGCCTTTTTGGAATCAAAAAACTTCAAAAATTTAAAACACTGCAAATAAAATTTAAAAATTTCAATTTTTTTTTTCGTTTTTTAGTCAAACTTTTACAAACAAAGTTTTTCAGTATGCTTAATTTACTATGACGTTCGAATATATGCCGTATCTGTAGCTTTTCATTCGGCTCCTTTTATCACACCACGCCGAAAAATAACGACACTCATTTGAAGAAAAAAAAACACTTTTCTGATGTATTTTTTAGATTATAGTCGGAACATTGTGCTACTTGCACAGTACCCAGCTATCCCTCCCCCACGTTTGGTCCTGCACTGAGCAGGCCGGGGGCTAATAAAAAAATCCTTGTTTATTTGAGGCTTTTCTAATTATTTTTCCGTTTTATTGTCCTGCCGTCCTAATTACCGTTCAAATCAGCCCCTCTTCGTGTTGTTTAACTTACTTTGGGTCTCTTCACTTGTTCTGGGCTGCCGACCTCCTCCTCTCCCTCTGAATCATCGCTGTCTACTATAACCCTGGATTTATTCCGCTTACCCATTTCGCCCAATCCGCGCCAACAATATTAGGCTCACTGAACACCTCGGCTACTTGAGATATTCGAAAAAGGATAAACTAAAAGAAGGGATGCTTGAAGACTGGATTTCTGATACAGAGAACGGACAAAAGCGTTGAAAATAGTTTTGATTCGCTTTAGCCTATTTTCAGAGCGTTCTTTTGCCCATGCAAACCTGAAAGAAAACCAACATTTAGGATTTTATAAGACAAAGAAAACTTGATTTGACGTTGAAATTGACAAAATTGGTTCTTCTTTTCATTTCAAGTTTAATTTGAACTGCTAAGCTAAGCCTTTTTAAAATAAGGGATTGCATTGGATAAATTCGAATAAACTTATAGAGCTAACAATTAACATCAAAAAAGCAAATATTGCTGCGGAGATAAAAAATTTACATTCATTTTTATACACATTAACCCAATCTCTATTACAAATTCAAGCTGTAATATTTCCACTGTAGGAAGAGCTTCTAGACAGACCAGGTGTATTTCCATTGCCCGTGTCACTACCCACGACGCATCTGAGAACAGATGCCACAAAAACAGCAACTAACAGCAGGCCTGAACAGATCATGAACAACTTGTGGGTTCCCATGTTGTCCGATGATCCATGAAGACTCATAAGACAAGCACAAGCAATCACGTTCACCGGAACTCGGACCCAGTTCACTACGCCAACTGTGTTGTCTTTAAATACCACACTTTGCAGTTTGTTTATACTAGGGATGTGGATTCCACACGCTAGTTCAAACAAGAGGATCCCGAAAAGAGAAAGATTCCAGCTTTGAGTTGCAGGGTGAGTTGCGTATGTTAGACACAATGACGAGCAGAGTCCAAGTAAACATACAACTATGGGCACTGTGGCAGTTGACACTTTCAATTTCGTCGTCATGATGACTTGTAGTGGTGATCCAATGATAATACACAGCATGAACAGGGCAAATATCATTCCAATTGGTTTTCCGGGTCCGTCAAGAACTGGGGTCCACAGAAACACGTAAAGGTACAATGCTCCTTCGAACAGTGACTGTACAATGGCAAGCAGCATTATTGACTTATTGAGCAAAATATCCTTCAGTCCTTCTACACAAAGGGTTCTGAACTTGATAGAGGGATTGCCGCAGTTTTCATCCCAGTTGGTTACGATGATACAGGCGCTCAGAATCAGGAGCGGAATCGCAAGCATGAACGGCGCCACAGGGGTTAATGCAAGGGTATCGGCAAAAAAGTGCGAGACGAGTCCGCATGCTACGGCCAAAACTCCGTTCCAAAATGCAGCTTTATTGAAGGTGAGTTCGATCCATTCCTCTGGGAACCCATGAAAGTCGTTGTGCTGATACACATACCATTCTTGGTAGAACGAAAAAAGGAGTGTGATTGAGAAACCGGCAAGAATCCTCCCCACTAGGAGCACGTGATAGTTCCATGACAACTTTGTCAAGCAAGAGACGATGTTCACCGTCGTCAGGACTAAAACGCAGGGAAAGAAACATAAATTCATATCCATACAATTATTTTCTCACTTTCAAATATGAGATCAAGCAATTTTTCCTCTATATGTGAAGACTGACCTAGTACGAACTGTTTTCTTTTTGCCTTGTGCACGAGTGTAGATGCAAGAGTGCTTGCAATAACAGTGGAGATGAAGCCCACAACATAGATAACCGCAATTTGCTGCTCCAGAAAACCATAATAGTGATAGAGCTTGTACAGATACGGCGCTTGAAACCAGTCGGCCAATGTAGCCAGCAAATAGGGTATTAGATAAGATCGCTGAAAAACGTTGAAGTTTGGATTGGAAACTTTGCTTTGTTTTGGCGAAGTAGCTCTAGCGTATAAATGAAACGCAGTATAAATTCCAGTAAGACCTGGAATGAGCAGGTGTATGACGTCGAGCATTTTCCTTGACTGGGTTAGCAAACCCTCATTTCCTCTTAAACAATACATTAAATATCAACCCAGAGGCAAACACAAGCCAAAAAAAAACCAAAATAGCCTAAAACACAGAGGCGAAGCGGAGCTTAAGATACAACGCAGGAGCAGTATTGCAAGCTAACGAAAGGAAAATGGGACGGAAATAACAGAAGTTTTTTTAAATGGGAAAAATGACAAGAATTTCACAAAAAAACAGTTGAAAAACACAACCACCAGTATTAAATAAGCTCTAAGTATTTATCGAGCGGCCACTAAGCCGACAACAAAAGAGTAACTCGGCATAATTCCTGCATAATTGCCTCAGATACGACCTTACACCACGCATCCCAAGCAATGGATGTTTTGAACCCACAATCGTTCATAACTTCACAAGAACCTGCTGAGAAAGGAGATTCCCGTGGCAAATTCGCAATCCCTGAGGGCCGAGGAAGATTTGATAGAGACTCGTTCACAGCTTCTCGAGCCCGCCTTTGCGGCTGAGGCCGAGGCCACTATACAGTTCCACGCCAAAAGATGCATGCTGGACCTGATGACTGGGATTAAAATTGACGCCGGAGTAATCTCGAAAGGATTTCAAACGATGAACAAAAACCAATCCACAAGGTGAAGTTAACCGTTTGCATTGTGGGAGACTTAATGGTTCCTGATATCTTGCTCGATTTACTTGGACAACATCACTATTGCAGTAGAGAATCAAGACCAGCACGACAAAAATTTGAAATGATCCCGAGATGTTCTAAAATATCTCCAGTTGACGCTTAATCCAGAGAAATGTATGTATTCTACATCCTCAGTCGACCTCCTTGGTTACACAATTTCTCATGGGTCTACTAAACCCGATGCCGAGCGTATGTAAATGTGTTACAGATGCCAATACCCTCCTGTCGACGAGCACTAGATCGCACCCTTGGTATGTTTGCATATTATGCTAAGAGGGTTCATCAATTCTCAGAGAAAGCCCATCCTCTTTCTAAAGCTACTGAACTTCCTCTAAATTCCGATTGTTTAGACGCCTTCAACGTTTTGAAAGAAGAAATAGCGCAAGCAGTAGTTAGCAGTATTGACGAGAGTGTTCCCTTTGTGGTAGAGACCGACGCTTCAGACCATGCTATCGCAGCTTCTCGAAACCAAATTGGCAGGCCCGTTGCCTTTTCTCGCGCTCATCGTCAACGTCCGAAAAGAAACAGTCACCTATAGGGAGGGAAACTTGCGCGATCGTGGAAGCCATTTGTAAATGGAGACACTATTTGACCGCCAGGCCCTTCACAATCATCACAGATCAACGGTCAGTAGCACAACACCTTATCACCCCCATGGTAATGGTCAACGTGAAAGATACAACGGTGTAATCTGGAAAGCCTTGCTGTTAACTCTCAAAAACTTCCCGAACCATCTTGGGAACTCGTTTTGGCTGATGCTCTGCATTCAATACGTAGCTTACTTTGTACTTTGACCAACGCATTTCCACACGAGAGACTGTTTTCATTCAGTCGCAGGTCGGTCAGCGGGCAGAGTCTCCCACCTTGGCTTGTAAACCCAGGTAAAGTCCTGTTCCGACGACACGTGAAGCACGGCAAATCTGAACCAGATGTTGACAAAGTCGAGTTACTAAATGCCAATGTGACCTACGCACGTATCAAGCAGCGACGCTTCGGTTACTAATGAATATGATGTTGCCAACACGGATTGTGATATTACTCCAACCCCTGTTGAAGAACTTGACGTCGGCGTACCGGATCTTGAGCCAGTTGCTGTATCCGAGACTACAATCGAAATAGCAAACAAAGTAAATCCGACGCCTGAGGTTGAGTCCCAGCAAGATGCAGAGAGTAGCAGAAAGTCCGCCAGAAAGCGTCAGGCGCGGCGTCGATTTGGTGACTGGGAGTATTCGTGAACTGGGAGTAATCGGTGAACTGGGAGTATTCGTGAAAACGGAGATAGATGAGACTTCTTTAGCCACGGAGAATGTCATATTCAACATACTTATAATATTGTGTTATCGTTCATGTGTGTGTTTCAGTTCATGGTATTCTTTTAAAATGAATAAAACCGTTTTAGTCCTAACGCGTTTTTACAACAATGATACGTTGAATGAAGTCACCGCTCTTGCTGTGTGGTATCTGACGGAGACGAAGAAACAAAAAAGACCCCAATCTCAAGAAAGTGGACACATATCTCAGAAAGGAAGGCATCAAAGCAGTGCGGTTTGATAAGTAACGGGTTTTTGCCAGATGTCTGACGCTGTCCACTTCTTCAAGTTGGACGGCATCTTCAATTGCCACCAGTTTGAGACCCTCTCATCAAGGGGGAAGGAGAGTACATTGAGGATAGAAGAACAGATAAACCTGACGACAAAACAACGAGCGGACAATGAATAAATCCCGGTGCCTCTACCAACAACTCTGTTTCATTGGCGCCCAACCAGCCAGATTGTATGGTTTGGCATAGGTACATAAACAGGACACTACTCTTCGCTCAGTTCTCTCACAGCCATGAAGCTGCTATAATTAGTAGCAAAAAGTTCGGACAGACGGAATTAATTAAAATGAACAATCAGTGCTTTTTGACGGTCTTTTGCATGCAAAATCTGAAGCCGAACAACCTTGAACTTTTTGTCAGACCAAATTCAAAATGCGAGATCGTCGATTATCCGATGATCATGCTAGCCTAATTTTTAAAGACTGCGATGAACATCCAGATTTTACTATAAATTATTTCGACGCTTCGGATGCAATTGAACGCCGTGGTTATAGGTTTTGAGCGAAACTCGGATCTACTTAACAATCCCCCCCTTGTTGTATTTACTAAAGAATCTCTACCCCTGTAAATGAAAACAGTAGTAAGTTCGCACTAGAGCATTGTATGTAAGCTCGAATTTTGCTGCATTCTGATTGGTCGAAATTTCGCTGCAAGTAATCTTATTAACGATCTCCTCCCCTTTGAAAGGGGGATTGTTAAGTAGATCCCGTAACTCTGCTTTATGAACTTCCGAAGTTATGTTTATTTCAGTTTTAATTTCCGTTGATGTCTAGACAGTAGCTCTTTTTAATTAATTCTGTCTGTCCGAACTTTTTGCAACTCTCTATACGACAAGTATAACAAGTGGCTTGCCAAAACGTTCAAGCAAGTCCCAGGTGCCAAAATTGAGACACCGACCACACACACTCGGTTGAACGAAGATGAAGATATTTTTCACTTGATGTGAAGAGTGTGTAGATGTTGGGTGTCAATGGAAGGAAGACATCGTTAGAGGCATCGGAAATTGTTCTGTCCTCTAGTTGTTTTAGTGTCCGGTTTAACTGGTCTTCTATCCTCAACGTCGTCTCCTTCCCCTTCACAGAGAGGGTCTCAACCTGGTGGCAATTGTGGATGTCGGTCAACTTTCAGAAGTAGTCAGCGTCAGACATCAGGCAAAAACCCGCCCCTTGTCCAGCGGCACTGCTTGATGCCTTACTATCTGAGATAAGTGGTATATCGAGAAAGATGGTGTGGCGATGGGAGCCGCCATGGCGGTCATTTTGGAGAATGTTCGGGCGAAGCAGTTTGAAGACATCGCCTGGAGGGTGATCACCAGGCGGTCACCACTGAGCAGCAGCCATAGATAAGACAGACAAGACCATCTGATCGATATGAACGAAGAAGGTGACTTGGAGGGGTTGATCCATACCATACGGAGAGGGAAGTGTTATTTTGGTTCCACCGTAAATGCTGTTAGGTTCCTCTTCAGATCAATAAGAAACTTACTGCCAAGTAACTGTCATACTCGAGTGGGTGTTGCTTGTACTGTCGCTATCAAGGCGAAATATTTCGGCCGCTATGTGGACGACATCATGCAATCAGCACGGAAGGACTTCATTGACATGTAAAATTCGCCCGGAAGATACATATCGATGGAAAATAAAGCTCTACCGGAGTAGATTCACTCGCCAGCCTTCTGTCTCTCCCCTCCGATCCATGTGCATCCTGGTTCTCATTCATGGCCTGGTTCGTATGGACCTCCACTTCTAACAGCTTTTCACTCTCCTGAGATTTTCTGACTTCTAGTTTCAACCATTCTGCCTGAAACCGTCTCCCCTTTGTCGGTCCGGGCTCGTGTGATCCGATCCACAAAAGGGTCGGTCATTGTTTTTCTTTGTTTTTTTAGGTATGAATTTCCTAGCGGTATTACCTCGTTTAGGTATCCTTGACTTGTCTCGACTCATTCTCAATTTGTCACTTCTTAATGCCTATACACTCAATTCAATTGCTAGTTGTAACAGTCGCCTACTTCGGTCACATATGAGGCTTAAGAAAAATAGGCCCTATAACCATTGGCTCAAGAGTCAGGGACACTATCTCTTGTGTTTTTCTACCTCAAGAACGGTCGGAGCCAATTCGGTTCGCTTGCGACATGAGACTAGAACCCGTTACAGCTTAAAGGCTACTACCAAAATATCCCCCCACTCTAGAAAATAAGAACGTTCCCATACTTAGGTCACAAGATACCCAAAATACTTGAACGCCGTTAAAAACAGGGTCAGAACAATCCGTTAAGTTACTTTTTATTGGACAGTGAAACTTTGATCCATTTCAGATGGATCAACCTAAAACTCGCCTTATCTCAACATAACAATCATAAAACACACTCGAGAAAATTAAATTAGGGACTCACATGTTGATGCACTCGAGTACAGGGAGTAATTAAATTGGTAAGCAACTCAAGAATTAGATAATATAACTAGATAAGTTTAATACTGGTCAGTTTTGGTAACAGAAGTAAGTTCTGGCTCTAGAATTGGAGTTTTTGTGTGAACCATTGGGACACTCAAGCTGTCCACCTTTCCATTGAAGGTTCACTCTAGTTTGTTCCGAATAATTGTTCTCTCTTCTTTTTATTATCTCTCTTCCTATTTCGGGATAAGACAGCTCTACTCGTGTCCTATTTTATATCTGGAAATTGCGAATAGCAATTTCCTGCTGTTTTTCTTGAGTATTTTCCCGCAATTGTAAACTCGG